AGTGTGGCCCGCAGGACTGGGGAAATTACTGTCCCCCTGTACTTAGCACTGGTGAGGCTGCACCTCAAACACTGAGTTCAGTTTTGGGCCCCTCACTCCAAGAAGGACATTGAGGTGCTGAAGCATGTCCTAAGAAGGGCAATGAAGCTGGTGCACAAGTCTTATGCACAAGTCTAGAGCACAAGTCTTATGAGGACAGGGTGAGGGAACTGGGGTTGTTTATCCTGGAGAAAAGGAGGCTCGGGGGAGACCTTATCACTCTCTACAACCACCTGAAAGGAGGTTGTAGAGAGGTGGGGGTCCATCTCTTCTCCCAAGTAATAAGTGATAGGATGAGAGGAAACAGCCTCAAGTTGTGCCATTTAGGGGAGGTTTAGACTGGATATGGGAAAAATTTCTTCACCAAAAGGGTGGTGCACTGGAACAGGCTGCCCATGGAAGTGGTGGAGTCACCACCCTGTGAGGAGGTATTTAAAAGACTCTTAGCTGTAGTGTTTAGGGACATGACTTAGTGGTGACCTGGTGGTGCTGGTTAACACTTGGACTTGATGACCTTAAAGATCTCTTCTAACCAGAACAATTCAATGATTCTGTAATTCTATGGCAAAAAGCATAAGAAAATTTGGGCAACCTCTTCTCTCTTGGAAAGGTGTAACCAGATTTTCAGCTCACACAAGCTGGGGCAGTGTCACAGCCATGCAGGCTGGACTCTACCCACCCAAAGAGATGATCTCAAATCAATATTAAGAAGAGTCTGACTTTTAGTTACTTGATCACTGCTAATTTTATAACTATAAGAATAAATTTTTAGAAATGACTGACTTGCTTCAGCTGACAAGGTTAGACATGATTAATATGAAACACAAGAAAACAATGTTTAATAGTTTAATAACTTTAAGAACAATGCAAAATTGTTTCAAGATACAAATTAAAACTGCTGCAAAATCTCTTTAACTATACTTAAAAAATTTAAATTATATTACTTTGATCATTTAAGGTCTAATGCAGAAAGATACTAAACACCTCTTGAAAGTTATGTGCTTGAAATCAACTTACAATGAAATAATTAGTAGACTTTGAGGACAGTTTCGTATTCCACAAACACGGAGGCCAAATTTAGCAACCAGTGATATTATGAAACAAACTCATTTAAAGAATAAACTCTATAGTAAAACAAAGTATCAATAACAAAACCAAATGTTCAAGAAGAAGCCTGAATTCTAAAAAGTATAAGGTTGAATCCTAAAATTTATCTAACCATTATTTAGCATTACATCAGTAACAAAAGTAATAGATTAGGCAAAACTATACTTCCTCTAAAGTATGCTAAGGCTACAGTGTACAAATTGAGTTTGAAATTAACTGAACTGACAACAATTTGGTTATTTTTAATACATTTAGGCATCCAGCTTTGTTTTGCTCCAAAATCCTAAATATAAATTAAGGTGGAGACTCTTTCTTTCCAAAGAACTTTCTTTCTAAGTCTGTGGAACATGACATTTAATATGTGATGCAAACCAAATAGCTGCCTTCTACTCACAAAATACAAAACAAGCTGAACACAACAGTTACACACTTACTGACACAGTTTAAATAGTGCCAGATTAGAAGTATTTTTACACAAGCACTTCACAAAATCTTTCATGCTGAAGTCTAAACATCCATCTAACTCAAATATATTTGTCAGGTTCCCAAAGGGTTAATATTGTCTTGCTTCATTTCTTACATGTAGTAATTTAGCTCAGAACAAAAGCAGCTCCCTGCTGGTTACCTTGGCTAAAGGAAACACAATGAACTGGTAAAAACCAGTTTTATCTCACTGCTGTTGCCTAGGGCTACAGACAAAATGAAGTAAAAAAATTCACATGCAGAGTATTAGGTGCTTATGAAAGATCCAGCAGTGCTGTTGCCTAGTGATTCAGCGAGGAGCCAGCACAGGCCAATGAGGTGTACGGGTGCTGAATAACATCCCCGATGACTGCTTTACATCTCCTGCAATTCTGTCATACACCCCCATGATTTCCCAGTGGTAAGAATCACTTTCAAGGGAACCTGTCAGAATGAAAATATAAAAATTTAAACAAACAAACACATCACATATAGCAAGATTACTATTTTTGCTTTTCCCTTTGGATGTTGATACTGCTCTAGATTACGTGCCTATCCAATACGAAATGTTCTTCATATCTATTAATACTTAATGATCACTACAATTTTAATCAAAATACTTTAACAATTAAGAATAACCTCCAGTTTTGAAATAGCAAATATGTTATACTGAATTGCAAGGAATATGCTAAAGCAAAATTAATCTTACTATGTTTTTCAAAAGAGCTACAAAATGAGTGTTTATAACCAGCAACTTTGTCAGCAACGCATAAAGATACCAGGGTGTTTTTACCATGCACTTTTCAAATTCTGGGGTATTTTTGTTGTGGCTTTGGTTTTATTTCAGTTTGTTTTGCAGTTCCTGGTGCTCTGTTACACAGCAGATTTTTTGACATGAAAGCTAGCTCATTAGCAAGGACTACATATTGAAAAAGAAGCTACTTCAAAGATAAAGCATCCTTTTCCTCAAAGAACAAGAAGAAATCTCTCCCCATTAAGACTATATGTGTGCTCTACTTTAGTGACATTTTCCCTCTGTATTAAAAAATAATATTCATATTAACAAAGCACATAATACATATTTAGTTGAAGCAAGTGTGCTGAAGGAGAGCAGGAGTATTTCACAAAAATCTTTTCATCTTCAGCATCTCTAATCATAAAAGACATATCCCTACTGTACAGAGGAGTAAACACCACAAAGAAAAACACAGATTTTTTTTAAAGATCACTCTCAATTTCTTCTCTGAGATCAAGCTGTTGGTGCTTTATGTTTTCTATCTGGCCTCTGCCATCGATCAATTTGTGATGCTTCAGAGGAAGATGAAGTATCTTCATGATGCACGCAGCCTAATGTGCTTTTTTTTGCAGGAATAAAAGTGTATCATGATTCCTACAGTAATTTGCTCAGGAGAAGAGCAAAACAAAGGCAATAAAACATATCTCCAAATATTTCTACTGCCTATTAAAAGTCCTAATCTTTAAAAGCCCAGACAACTATCTATTGTCCAAAAATGTGTTTCTTTTCACTTATTAAAATGTAGTAGTTGTTTAACAAATAATTACTCTTCTCGGAGGAATGACTTATTGCAGCCACTTGCTAATGCACTGAGATGAATTTGTCAGTGTGTGACAGTAGTCACCTCACACAGAGGTAGAATCTAAGATAATATGTCCCATTTTGTCCATAGGACATTAAAACCTTTTGCCAGTTAATGGTTAGTCTGAAATACTGAAATATACCATAACGCTAAAATGATATTTTTCCCAACTAACTATGAACACTCATTAACCACGTAAACTTTTGTCTTTCTTAGAAACTTCTTAGAGTTTATATTTTATTTCATGGCAATGACTTGAATTATGAATTATATTGTCTCTGACACCACCAAAAATATATCAGAAAACTATCAGGGAAGAACAATAGTGCTGCTATTCACTTTCTATACCATCAATAACACCATAGCTGATTATTTAATGAGCCTTACAGCAGCATGAGTGCCAGGTGTCTAATACTGTCATTAAAAATATTTAGATTTAGCATACATTGAAGAACAGTCTTGTTCCTTTTTTTTCAAGGAGTTTGAAACAAAAGAAGCTTGGCAAGCACAAGTGTACACTGTAAGCAACCTACAGAAATGCAGTTTGCACAGCTTGCGAGTGGTAGTGCAAGAAATGTATAATCCCAGTACAGCCAAAAGGTCTCACTTGACCCAATCTGATAAACCGGAGTGCAAGTGCTTACAAGGGTAAAGTGAACAGTGAGTGGAGGATTCCAGTGGGGGAAGGAGAAACAGTAATTTAGATCTCGGACACCCCTCACTATCCTCTCTCAGCTTTTGTGGGAGATGTTCTACATAACGACCCAGAAATATGTAACTGCAAGACCTCCAGAGAAAGCCTCAGAGAAAGGCTGAGATGCTGAAATAGATACAGAAGCTCTGGAGGAAGAAATATGAGATAGAACTTATCTACTATTTTTCTTTTTCAACCATTCCCGTTAGTGCAAGTCTGTATCTTGTAACCATTTCTGAAAGCAGTGATCTAACACCACCAAGTACTCCATCTCTCAGGAAACTGGAAAGCCTTGAACTGTTGCTCACTTAACTGTAGTCCTTTATTAAGCAACAAAAACTGAGCAGTAGAATAGGGTGAAGGGTACTTGTCTTCTAAAGAGGAAAATATAATTATTTTATAAAATAATTACTATTAGGTCAAATACATATATAGATATGATAACTATTTAGCTATCATCTACTCAGTTTTCACAAATGTAGTTCTGATAGATGATGTCCTTTAAACAGTGGCCAATGATTTTGTCTGCTTTATATCTTAGGCATCCACATGGAAATATTAAAAAGACCAAATCTCTAAGTGAAAAATACCAAAGAAAGATCTTTCACAATAATTTTTCAGCGGTAATGAATGCCTGGCACATTTAGAAAGCCTATTAAAGGCACATATTTCCCATTCTACCACACCCAACAGAAACTGCATGGCAATGAATGAAATAGATTTTGAAACCACTATACTGCTAAGGTATCGCTAAGACAAAGAGTAGATGAGAATCACACTCCCCAAAATGAAGGCTAAGTTTCTTCCAGCTATTTCCTTTAGAATTTTTATAGCCATTTAAAAAAGCAATTACCTGCAAAGATGAAAATGAAACCATTGAAGTGAAGAGCAAAATAGTTGTCTCTAGATTCTTAATGTGATGACAATAACATACAAAGCTAAGTATGCCTCAGACAGTAATGGAAATTCAGAATTGTCCCTACCTTTAGTGGCACTTTCAAGGCTGTGGTATGCTGCAGGGACTCCATTGTCCTTTTTACCAGTGCTGGAAGGTAAATTTGAAATTCTACAGCTTTATCTTCCATGTTAGAATTGTTATATGGATAGAGGGGGGGGAAAATCACATGTATTCTTTTACATAATACCTGCTAACCATTCACAATTTTTTCAGATTTTTAAAAGTTGAATATTATGTCTTGTGGAGGGTTAAATCCCATATTTTAAATTTAATTTTAGGGTGAAATTTGGAGAATTGTTTCACTTATGAAGTGTAGAACTAATATATTTTATATAGAGGCATAACATGTCTGAGTGTTGTGTTTCTCAGCTTTCAAGTTCAGTACTCTTTGCCGTATGTTTGGTGACATTTTATGTATTTTCATTTTCTGGTGCAGCCATAAAACTCAATCTTAAAAAATAAAGCTGGAAAACAAAGTACTGGAAGTCTGAAGTGCCTAAAATATATTATTCTTCAAAGTAAAACAATCAGAGATGAATTTTAAAAAAATGTTTCCTGTGGGATAGTGGAGATATCAAGTGGGGATGGCAAGAATCTAAACAATTAAACTTCAGTATGATCTATGTAACTCAACAACTCATCGTAACATTAGGCTCACTATTACTGTGAAAATGAATCTATAATTATTCCAAATCAATCATTTGGGATCAGCTTTGTCATCCTTGGTCACACCAATTAGTGTTCTGCTTGACAAAGATTGCTGCTGCAACACAATATTGTTCTAATCAAAATCAAAGAGAGATTCCCTGGATAAATGGCCTTTAAAAAAGAAGTCACTTTTGGCTAGTGAAAGTGAAATAGGCATACCAGGGAGCCCCAGAACAAAAGTTATTGAGCAACCTCCATTCTTCTGATAGGATGGCTGACTAAGTAGTACTTATCATGTGCCTCACAGGACTGAGAAATACCAGGGTATGCAGTACATGGTGATAACTGCTAGACCAAAACCCACGTGATTACTTAGAAGCTTTCTTTGGAGTTATCCCTCAATGCACACCACATTTCTTTTGCAGTTGAGGTTAGATGCAAAGGAGCAACAACAGCGCTGAGAAGACCTTTTCTAATGATGCCAGCAATGAAGAGATGTGTGTAATGTTTTGTGTCACATTTGTGACACTGAGGCTGGCTTGATAATAGTGAGGAGGATAACTAGCTTCTGCCTGAACAGCAGTGGAGTGCTCAGACAGTGCTGGCTCACTCAGGCTTGCATGCTAATGAGCTGTCATAAGATTTCCCATGAAGTCCAAATTATGTAGTAACTCAAAAGATCAGTGGCTGAAGTGCCAAGGCTGAGGAAATGGAGACATTTGTTGACATACCTACACCTATATATTTGCTTCATGTTAGATTTTAGGTAGTTTATGGTCCAGTATAGGACACAGTGTCATTTTCAGAGAGGAGAAACAAACATTGCAACCACAGATTGTGAAAGGGGAAGTGCTGGCCTAAATAATTATCCATTTAAAATCCAGTCCAAGTCAACGTGGCTATTAATAGAGGAGTGTTGGACTGCCTCCATCTTGAGAAGCCCACTCTGAATTCAAACAGGCTGGCAGCTCTAGGAGGTCAACGATGCAGCAGACGTCGGGGCACTCCAACCAGGTGGCACGCCTTCAGAAGGCTGAGTGGATTGCCAGTCAGTCCCTGGGTGGACATGTTTTCCATCAGTAAGCTCCCTACCAGGCTACAACTGCACAAAGCTTTTGTGCAAACATCTGGATTCTGTACTTCTCATGCAGAATCACCCAGCTTTGTATGTTCCACCAAAGCACTTAGGAAGGGCACGCCCCACTCTGTGCAGCGTTAAGGTGTTTTGAGCTGTTAGACAACTGAACAGCAACAGAGAATCATGGCAATGGGAGGAACAGGTCCTTTTGACAGAAAGAGCTTCAGTGGACAACAAAACATGGAGCACGAGCCAGTGGCATTGATTCATGGTTTGAAAGATGTGAGCAGTATAATAAAGACATCGCGTCTCCTTTGCGCTGAGTGGGACCAGTGTTTCACTAGTTCTCTAGACCTCTGAATTTGACTAGTTCTCTCCCCTGGAATTGTTATCCCCAAAAGGGGATTTGTGATGGCAGCAATGATTGCAACACCTTTTGCTGTTGGTTCACAGTTTTCACATTAAAGTATTTGGCACAATCAGAATTCTGCTGCGTTCTTAACTGCTCTCAATTTTTAAAAGCACAGATTAAAGTGGCCACATCAGTGAACAAACCTAATGGTTCCTCATTCACTTTGACAGTCCATTAAAAACCTCTCCATTGGTTTGTTCCATTTTCTTCATTGTTTTTTTCTGTGTCAGTTTGGCTCCCTGTTCTCTTTCTCATGTCACACTGACTTCTCCATCTCTTCCCAGAGTTTAGTGGGTGGCATATTAAAACCATTCATTTCAAGCAAGCTGGAGTTGTTTTGCCTGCATTTCAGCCTTTTGAAATCATACCTTTGCAAGTATCCAAAAGGCTTGGCTACATCTACTTTACAACAGATTTTGAATGAAATAATAAATACATAATGATAACAGAAATATCAAGAAAAAGAAGCTGGATTACCTTTTCTGTCCCACAGTCTGCCGAGACAGTGAACAGTGAAGAAGGAAGCATTTACATTTAAATGAAATTGTCGAAGAGTCTTCCAGTGGGAGAAATTTTTCATATTGAGATCCTCCTGGAACCAATGCTAAGGCACATGGAAAATAAAGAGGTGACAGCCAACATGGCTTCTCTGAGGGCAAATTGTGCCTGACAAATCTGGTGGCCTCCTGTGATAAGTTCACAGTGCCAATGGATAAGGGAAAAGCAACTGACATCATCTACCTGGACTTGTGCAAAGCGTTTGATACTGTCCTGAATGACATCCTTGTCTCTAAATTGGAGAAACATGGACTTGGTGGATGGACTATTCAGTAGACAAGGCTGGATGGCCGCACTCAAAAGAGTTGCAGTCAGTGGCTCAATGTCCAAATGGAGACCAGTGACAAACGATGTTCATCAGGAGCTGGTGTTGGGATAGGTCCTGTTTAACATCCTTATTGCTGACATGGACAGTGGGATAGAGTGCCCTTCAGCATGTTTTCCAACACCAAGCTCTGTGGTGTGATTGACATGCCAGAGGGATGGGATGCCATCCAGAAGGATCATTATAGGCTTGAGAGGTGGTCCCACATCAGCTTCATGAAGTCCAACAAGGCCAAGTGCAAGGTCCTGCACCTGGGATGGGGTAATCCCAAGCACAAAAACAGGCTGGGCAGAGTATGGATTGAGAGTAGTCCTGAGGAGAAGGAAGAACTTAGGGGTGTTGGCTGATGAGAAGCTCAACATGACCCAGCAATTTGCATTTGCAGCCCCAAAAGCCAACTGTATCCTGGGCTACATCAAATAAAGTGTGACCAGCAGATTGAGGGAGATGATTGTCTCCCTCTACTTTGCTCTTGTGAGACCCCACCTGGAGTACTGTGTCCAGCTCTAGGGCCCCCAACCTAAGAGGGACATGGACCTGTTAGAGCGACTCCAGAGGAGGGCCACAAAATGATCACAGTGTTGGAAGAACTCTCCTATGAATACAGGCTGAGACAGTTTGGATTGTTCAGCCTGGAGAAGAGAAGGCTTCTGGGGAGGCCTTGTGGTATCTAAAAGGGGCAGAGCGACATTTTACAAGGGCATGTAGTGCCAGGACAAGGGGGAATGGCTTTAAACTGAAAGAAAATAGGTTTAGATTAGATATTAGGAAGAAGTTCTTCACTGTAAGTGTGGTGAGGCACTGGAACATGCTTCCCAGGGAGTTCTTTACTGTAAAGGTGGTGAGACATTTAAGAGGTTGTCCAGCGAGGTTGTAAGGTGCCCTATGGAACACTGGAAGTGTTCAAAGCCAGGCTGGATGGGGCTTTGAGCAACATGGTCTAGTGGAAGATGTCCCTGCCCATGGCAGGGGGGTTGGAACTAAATCATCTCTAAAGTCCTTTGCAACTTAAACCATTCTATGATCATTTATAAAAGAGACCATATGGTATAGTGGTATGTAATCACAGGAGTTTTAGTCCTCTACATATAATATCTGATTCTCCCACTACTCTCTCAGAGCTCCTTGAAAACTCTCCTCTTTCTCAAGGCTTAAAATAAACAATCCTGGCATACATAACTGTATCTTTTTTATCTCATATGCATTACAGAGTGTGGTCACTAACAAAAGAGACCACAATGTTTAAACAGATCTGCCCCTACCACTCTTAATTTTTTGTTTCTTTTCTAAGATTGGAGGCTTTTGGGATAATGATTATTTCTGTTCAGTCAAGAATCTAGTATATCTAGGGCACATAAATTATTAATTTTAAAATGTTCCTTTGCAGCCAGACATATACTGCAATGGCATCTGTAAAATGCTGTTCTCACAATCTTTGCAACTTATCTCTCAAAAGCCATAGTCAGCAATTATGAGATTTGTTGATTATACACATCCTGGCATGCTTTGTAAGGGCTAAGTGTGTCATGTTAAAATATTATATATTAAAAAAAAATTGTGACAGCAAAGTGAGGAGATCACAGAGGAACTTAAATTTTAACATGTATTAGATTTTCTTGATACTGGCCAGAATAAATGTGCTTATTGAAAGTGTTGTGGATAGGAGCAAAGAAAAGACATGCATGCCTGCTGTGGAACAAAAGCTTATTTGTCCCTATCAAACTGAAGACATTTTTCAAGCTCACTCACCTATGAAATTATGACTCCAGAAACATGTCAAAGCTGGCCAGACATATGATCTATGGAATAGGAATTTTTGCAAATTGAAAGCTATCTGGAAGCACCTTTAGTTTATGCACCAGTGTTTTTCAAGTCAGAAAACGGCAGCTCAGAGGACAGAAAATGTCACTAGCTTGTGATAACCAATTCATTCTTTTGTTCTTCTGTTACTTCAGTCTTCTTTGACCATGTGCACTTTTTTATGCAGTTGAGTACCCGTTAAATGGGAAATTATAGCAGAATAAAATGAAATTTCATGGAATTTGTACATAAGCCAAACTTTTATA